GATTTAGCTGGTGCTTATATATATATAAATACATACATACTTTAGTGTTAGAACACGTAGTCGAATAGCTTTTATTATTTATATTTTAAAATTCCTTAAGTATTCTTACAATTACCATTCCCAAGAAGTCCTAATGACAAAAAAAATCTAAGCATTTTAAACAAGAATTATCAACATCGTTAAGTAATGCTTTTAAAATACATGGAAAAATATGTTATTAGATTAAATTTGTTAATTCTAAGTATTCTTCTACAATGCAGAAACTATCAGCAATATTTTTTTATGATATTCATTCAGAAATTCGGCGTGTTTCTTCCTTTTAGAGGGAAAACTTTTTTAAATTCTTCGAGTTATCCGGATTTTTACTGACATTAATTTCATTAAAAATATTTCTATCAACTGTATTAATCTTTTTTAATTTATAATTATTTTCTAAGCAACGCAAAAACAACACAAAATAATAGAATTTTAAAAATAAAATTTTGAAAGTAAATTACCAAAAAAAATTTTTTATAGTTATTTTTTTCTTTTAGAAAGTTTGAAAAAATGTCTGGCTTTTAACAGAATCAAAGTAAACAGGCATTAAAATAATTATTGAATCAGAGTTAGAGCAAGAAAAACCTTCGAAAAAAAAATCCTAAACGTGGTGTTCCGTAATAACCACCTTAATTTATATTATTATAATAAGTAGAAAAATGAATATTATCAAAAATTAAGAAAAAAATACAGTGACATTCCCTGCTTAATTTTGAAATCGCTACTTTAGTTCGCAACCTATAATCCTTATTAAATAGTGAATTTTGAAATTAATTCAAATTCCGCGTTATTTTGGAGGATTAATTAATAAGTCAACTACTACTATTCACATGTTTAGCGACGCTAGTGGGAAGGCCTTCGCGGCGTGCGTATTTTTGCGAATTGAATGCGAAAAAGAAGTTCAAATTAAATTAGTGCAGGTGAAATCACGCATCGCTCCTCTAAAAAAGGATCCCATCACCAAAATCAAAACTGAAATGTCTATTCCAAAATTAGAACTCTTAGCTGCACTGATAGGTACTCGTCTTGTTCAGACAGTCAAGACTTCATTAAACATTTCTGATATCGAAACCTTCTATTCGACTGACTCTAAAGTGGTTCTTTGTTGGATCAAAAATCCCGGAACATGGAAAACTTTCGTGAACAACCGAATACAAGAAATTCACTTGAATTCATCTAAAGAAAATTGGTGTTACATCCCATCTCAAATGAATGCAGCGGACATCGCTTCTCGTAGGTGCAACGCACAAACTCTGTTCAGTCTTCGTTGGTGGGAGGGTCCCACATGGTTAAAAAATCGAGACTCTTGGCCAAACATTCACAATGCTGATTTCTCAGACGGTTTAGAGCTTGCTACCGTCGGGAAAAAACCTACAGTTACGATGAATATTTCTTTAGGTAATTCCGAACCTAATTTTTTCGAATGGACTTAGCGAATTTCGAAATTTTCAACAATTGTTCGAATTTTGGCCTATGTTAAGCGATTTATCTTCAATGCTAAATCAGTAGTAAATAAACAGAATGAATCACTCTTGAATGGAAACTTAAAATAAGAAGAGCTCACCAAATCTGAACTCGATATATTCCTTTTCATACAAAATGACTCATATGGGAAAAATCGTCGACTGATACCACCCAATTTCATCATTCACCGCAACTCCAGTAGTCTTCCAAGAGTTGAGACAAAACTTGTCTCGACTGGTGATGGTTATTTTTTTAGATGTCCTATCCTGTTGCCAGACAGGAATGAACTAGTTTTCAAACTCATCGAAGAGACTCATCGGACCTACAGCCATGTAGGCGTACAAACACTTGTCACAACCCTTCGTGAAAAGTACTGGATTTTGCGATCAATAAAAACCGTTCGATCAGTTGTTTCCAAATGTGTAATTTGCCAAAGATTTAAATCCAAATCTGCTACGACGATGTTCGCTTCTCTTCCAGAAGAACGTGTACGAATATCAGCAGTGTTCGAAACAACTGGAGTTGATTTAGCTGGTGCTTTGGTTCTTCGAAATTGTGACAAAGTTTGGATTACAATCTTCACGTTTGCCGTGTACCGTGCGGTGCATTTCGAACTTGTTTCGGACATCTCCACACAAAGTTTTCTTCTCGCATTGAGACGTTTCATTTCACGTCGAGGTCGAGTAAAATTAATCTATTCAGATAATGGCGCAAACTTTGTTGGTGCAAAGAACGAACTGAAAAGTATCGACTGGAATGTCATCATTGCTCACTCAGATTGGAGAAAAATCTCCTGGCATTTCAACCCACCTACCGCTGCTTGGTGGGGGTGGGGGGGTTGGTGGGAGAGGGTGGTAAGAATGTTAAAGGAATTGTTGAGACGCAATTTAGGAAAAGCGTGTCTTAACTACGAAGAATTGTACACCGTTGTGTGTGAATGTGAAGCTCTACTTAAAGGTAGACCTCTAACTTACCTCTCCGAAGAACCATCAGATCTAGTGCCATTAACTCCTTCTCTCTTTTTACAGGATCAGACTAAATTTTGTGTAGATGATCTAGATCAGAATGATATGCAGAATCTTCGCAAACGCGCGAAACACCTTCACTCCCTTAAACAAAAACTAAAAACACGTTTCTATAAGGAATATATTTTGCTCTTTAAGCAATCCAGACACTCTCATCAAACCCCACTTGAAGTGGGAGATATGATTCTAATCAGTTCAGATAATAAGAAACGTGTTGATTTTCCTCTAGCCAAAGTAATTGAAATTTATAAAGGACGAGATGGTGTTTCCTGAGTTGCGAAGGTTAAAACTCAAAATGGTGAAATAGTTCGACCATTTCAACGATTATTTCGTTTAAAAACAACAGGTATTGTAAGTAAAACTCTAAGATCAACAGTCAAACCTGTTAAACTGTAATCTTCAATTTTGTATTAATATACTTTAAAACTTTTTGTCCTTTTCGATTTATATTTTATGTATTTGCAATAATTTTGTTTCATATTTCTAAACTTAATACTTTAACTTTTATTTAAAATTTTTGATAATTTTAAACTTTAACCTTTTGCGGTTGGAGGATGTTGCATCTTCCTTCCATTAAATTAAATTTTTACCTTGTGATAGATGGCGCAGTGTGCCCATCTGTAAGGATACATAGCTTTTTTCATCAGTCTTTTTTTTTTTTATGTCGTTTCGTTAAGCTTAAAATAAAAAAACTCTAAAAAGAATATTGGCTCGCACTGATTTATTTCAAACCAATAGCCAATAAGATCCCGAGACGTAACAGAAACATTTACTGAATGTGTTGTTCCACACATAATTACGATATGGTTACTTTTGAGTCACAACCCGAAACTCTGAACGAAACAATGACACATTTTCCGGGTGTATTGCTCCATCTATAATTGGAATATGTTGATTTTATGGTTAAAGGGAAAATAATATTTAATTTAAAATAAATAAACTGAGAACTCTATACTTGTATTCGAATGTAGTTGTTCCACTCTTGTCGAAGCAACTTGTCGTTAAAAGAACTTTCAAATAGTTATTGGGTTTGCAAACAGTTTCGGTAGTATTCCTTACAAATTTTAATACATGCATAGATTAGGAACGAAATTAAAATAATAAAATAAAAAATAACCTTGTTCTAAATCACCTTCAGACGAAAATACAGTTCCATACAGAAGAATTAACATATAACAGTAAAAACCTTCAACTATACAATTTTTGCATTTTTAAATTGTTTAAATAACAAAGGTATGAAGCTTATCGCAGTATGCTTAAGGATTTTGAATAACTAGTTTTATACCAGCGGAGGAAATGAATTGAATACGCGCACAGGGATTTGAATATTTGAAGAAATTTTGGTAAAAATATTAACACCTTCCCCGCCTCTTTTTTTTTCTTCCAAATTTCAACTTTTGTCGAATACATCCATTCATAAAAATCGAACTATTACAAAACGAATGAAATACTTAACAAAGCAAAAAAGATTAGGATACATCAAAATTATAAAAACCTATGAGTATTCGAAGTATTGTGTTATTGCAGTTAACTATGATTAATATCTGAGAATTTGCAGTAATAGGGTTGAATATAGCTTTTTTTTAACGCAAATTATAAATTGGGATGCAACTTCATCACAACTTCAGAACACAAAAAATATGAAATCGCGAGTCTCGCACAAAAGTTGTGCGATTGCAGCGGATGAAAGCAAATGATTCATCTTATTATTATTTCGATGAAATAAATGTGAATAAGACTCATTTTTACCTTTTTAGAATGAAATTAATATTAAAATTATATTTTTTATTATATATTTTTAATATTTTAATTATATTATATATTTTTAATACGAATGGGCAGCTGATTCATCATAAATCTACGTGGCTTTTTATGAATTATTTCAATAGGTTCCTTCATTGTTTTTTGAATCTCGATATTTGAAATCGGATGCTATTGAGGCAAGCGAATTTCAAATCGTTCATTTAAAAATTAAAATTCTCACACGCCGATTGTTTCGTAAATTCTCATTATTTTTTGAACCACTTCTTCGGTGGTTATATTCAATGATTTTATGCGTAATTTTTAAAATCTCGATATTTCTAAAATAAACTACTAATGATTCTCCGTTCGCACATGTAAGTAATCACCTATTGATTATCGACCATTTCTCTCGATTTTGCACCGATTTCCTCGTAAATCCATATGGTTTTTCAGCACTGATTTCTATATGGTATTTTGAAATCCCGATGCGTTTAATTAAATATCTCAATGGGAATTTCGAATCGTACTTTTCAATAATAAATTTTGACGAAAACGCTCGATTTGCGCCAATTTTGTCGCTAGTTCAAATGTTTTTTTATTATTTATTATTTTTAAAAAAAAAATTTTAATAAATTTTTTGGCAATAATACTCATGTATTTCTAAATAATTTTAAAAAGAAACGATATTTTTAAATTGGCACTACTACGTGAATTACTATTGTATTGGATCTCGAATCGCACAAATGAGTAACAACCTTTCGATTTCCGACCACGTTAGTACGATTTTGCACCGATTTAATCGTAAATCCAAGAGATTCTTCATTCCAGTCCCGCAATCATTTCTATGGAATTTTAGAAACACGTGAGAGTTCGAAGATGATATAAAATCGGATTTTTTTCTTTGATGATCTCTGAAAATATCTCTAGCTCTTGGTTCTCAAACAGATTTTTTCATAGTAATAGTAAAATATAAAAATAATCATAATTCAAAAAATAAAAACATTGTCGCCCCTCAAAGATTACGAATTTATTGAATATCAGAAAGAGTAGAAAGGAAAATTACTCTACAATTTCATACCTCATCCTTATTTTTAAGCCCTTTATGAAATAAAAAACCAGTTGCACTTGAAGTTATGATAAAACAAATTTTGTTTTTATTTCGAAGAAATGTTTTTGTTTCTCAATACTAACTGTGTTCTTATTTCTCACTTTTTTTATCTTACTAAAACCAAATTGCTACTTTCTTGTGCACTTAATTGGCTATTATTTGAGTGCCACTTAGAACGTTCGTAGGATTTGTTTTTTACCTTCTTTGGTCTTACTATAAATTAAATATTTTATTGGAAACATTATTTTTCTGCAATTTTCAGAAATTTGTTGACAAAAGCAAAAATATCTGTTTTAATTTGAGCCATTAAACAACCCTAGTGTTAAATCTGTCTTTAACTTACATTACTGTACGAAACATACTTAAGCTTTGTATCACATAATAAACATATGCTTATATTTCAGAGTAAATTAGGATAAGTTTAGAAAGCACTCAGCCATCTGAGCGATGCCCTTTATAAAATTAATTTACTTTTTTAATGCATTGGTCTATTTTTCGACTCGATAATTTTTCTATTTTGTTTTTCCCTAAGCATACACATTATATACATAAATTAATTTTATAAATTAAATGTATCAACCGAATGGATCAATTATAATGTTGATACAATCAATAATAGATAATTTATTTGTACCAAAAAAATGGATCAATCATTTTCAATTAAGATGCAACCTTTGTAAATAATAAAATGTTAAATAATTTAAAAAATAAAATTTTATTTTAAAATATTCAGTATAACAATTAAGTACACTGTCATGTGAGTGCGTATGGAAACTCATACGAGATTTGTGAATCTGCCAAAATTTTTAGCGAAACTTTCGGTTAAGAAACAAAACAAAATTATTTCAACTGTTAACATCAGTCCCACGTCCCTCCTCTCTCCATTCCTTGGTTCACGCAACTTATTTCTAGTCGTTTATTTTTAGTCATTGAAGAAAGAAAGAAAAAAAAAAGGGGGGTTACTGGCTTGAATAAACAAAAATTTCCTAATTTCCTAGTATTGAACAAATACCTTTCAAACTATTATCCTGCACTTCATTTAAACTCCTGTACCTTATAGTCCAAATCAAAACAATACCACCACCCCTCCCCAGTTGTTATCAGCAAAACAACAGAAATGTCCACCGGCGAACAACATAGTCACATCAGAAATAGGTGAAATTTGCAGTAATTTTTTTATTTTTTAATCTTTATCTTTTTCTTTTTTATTTTTCAACGCGTAGACAGAAGAAAAACAAGAACCCAAGAAAATAAGGAAAAAAAACAGATCCTTGAAAAACAACAATAAGGTAAGATCCTAGTTCCCTTTCCCAAGACCATAAAAAGCAAATAAATATAAGCGGAAGATAAGTCTCGAGTTAGAGTACTGGGGGGGGGGGATTTAGTCTTCCTCTAGCGCACCCCCATACTATTCAAAATACCAAATGCAAAAGATTTTTATCAGCAGGTAAACTAAGGTCTCACTCACTTGCAGGTAAGGAATTTATCTTCATTATGTAAGGCACAGGAAGACCCTGACTATACTCGTTATTAGGAAGAAAACTGTAACGAGGTATCCGCCCTATTTGACCTCTTAGTATCTCTTGACCCCTAAATGGAGAGGGTTGTGGAAAATAAAAGCAAAGATAGAAAAGGGATGCGTAGGAACGTTATTTCAGTTCGCTTGTTCTTCTTCAAAACGAAAGAGTCCTTTAATTTAAACATGTCTATCCGGCATGAAGATATTATTGCTATTATTTAAAAAAATTTCAGCAATTGAGAGCTTTTATTCGAGTTCACTACTTCGGGTATAGCCATTTATGTCTGGTTTTGAACGTAAGAATGATCTACCTCATACCACCCTTTTTTTTGTATTGTGCAAACAATTAGAAAAACTTGAAGTCATCATCAAAAAAAAAATGTCTTATTTTTTCGTTTAAGAATATGTTTCAAAAGGAAAAAAGGAAGAAACTTTAAAAATAACCACTATAACACTGAGAAGTGTAGTTCCTAGTGGACTTTTAGATATTGTGTTAACCAAGCAAAAACCAGGGCCTTTATTTATTTTTAGTTAAATAAATAAAAACTGAGCATTACATAAAGAGAATTAAATTACATACAGAATAAGAGTATTCATTCAACCAACCACTTATAAAAGAATGGAGAATAAAGATTTTGAGTATAGCCGCAAGAAATTATATTTCGTAGCTGACTATTCTCGCTACAAATTAATGTTTTTGGAGTCGATTCATTCATTTATTTATTCATTTTTGTCTTACCTAAATATAATGAACAAACTAAAGAAGTTAAATATAAACTAAAAAAAAAAATGTTTAAATGAAAATTTGAATTAAAACTGGTTCAACAAAAATTTTCTAAATAACGAGAGAAAAAATAGTCACAAGATAATAATTAAATATACATACTGTTAAATTGTATCTTC